GGGGGGGGGGGGGGGGCGTTGGGAGGGGCCTGAACTGTGCCGGTTTCCTATGCGAGCGACGTCGAGCGCTCCTCACACTTACCAGGAGCGAGTCCCCCACTTCGCCGTGCAGCAGTGGGCCCAGGATGCCCGCCTCCTGCGGGGCAGGTGCCCGCGTGGCAAACGTCTCGTCTGTGTACGCCACAAAGCGCGCTTTCTTGTACTTGCTGCCGATCCGCTGAGGGCCTCTGCCCACATACAGACCCTGACGGCTTCTGCAGGGGAGGCAGACAGCGGGTTGAGCGCGGCCCCCGCGGACGCGGACGGCGGGGCTCCGGCTCCCAAGCGCCCTGAGCGCCTGTGCCCAGACACACAGTCTGCAAGGACATGGAGGGTGGGGCGGCCGCTCACCGGTGGCTGCCCGCCAGGGCTGAGGGGGCGTAGTCCCAGTCCTCCTCTTCAGCAGCGATGTAGTGCACCCACGTTTTGGGGCGCTTTTTGGCGACGGAGCGCATTTGGAGAGACGAATGAGGGCTGTCGTCACCAAACCCGACCACGTCCATGTCGGACTCGTAGAGGTCGCCGTCCTCATCATCTTCAGTTTTTTTCATCCGTACTTGAGATTCCTCCGGGCACGTGGCTACTTGCACGTAAGCTTCCATGCCAGCTGGGGTCAGACAAGCCCCCAGGTGTAGAGCGCGCCCTGCTCTGCAGTGTTCACGTCGTCTCGGCAGCTGCGACCTGCGGCCCCCCTCCTTCACCCCCAGGCCAGCGTCCCTCGCCGGCAGTGTGGCTGCTCAAGCCCCTGATGCGCAAGGGGAAACCCCCACTCTGCGGCACCTCGGCTGTGGCCTGGCACGGCCCTGCGCTGGGTAGGGGGAGCCGCGCCGCTGCTATTACCGTGCTGGTGGGAGGAGATGTGGCAGGACAGCAGGAACTGGCCGAGGTCAGTCAGGAGTGTCTGGGCCGTGAGGAAAGTGACCGGTGAGATCTCCAGGGAGGCCTGGCGGTGATTCCTCACCAGAAATGTGTGTCCTTCGAGGAAAATGGAGTGCACTTCGGGGGTGGCACCCACTGCGATCACGTGCCAGTACACCGGTCTCCCTTGGCAGCCAGTCAGGCCTGCGGGGCAGGAGGGCAGGGCAGCCCCTGAGCCGCTTTCCCAGGCCAGGCCTCTGCCGCCCAAGGGCCTCGCCAAGGTCCGCAGCTGGGCGGCTGCCTTGGCCTCAGGGCTTCATGCCCTCCCGCTGGCGCGCCCCGCTGCCCCTCCCAAGGCCGCACAGCCCCTCATCCCCAGGCCGGGTGAGGGTGGGGTCTGAGGGCCGCTCTGTCTCGCCCTGCTGAGCTGTTTGTCAAGTTTGAACGTGCACTCCTTGCAGCAACCCCGGGGATGCAGGGGCTCTCATCATCTGCCTCTCGCAGGCCTTGAAGCCGGTGCGCGAGGTTTGGTGCGGCCCCCCCGTGTGGGCCTGCCTGCTTCCACAGGACACGCAGACGCAGTCACGGGCTCTGAGGTTTCCCGATTCCTTTTTTGCTTTCCTGGCGGTGGTTTCTGAGCACTCTCGCTCCTGACAGAGCCCAGGGACAATGTAAACAATCCCTCTGGTTCTCTGCAGTGCCCTTCCATGCACAGAATTCTTCTAAGCTCCTGTCTGAGAACTGGCTAGAAGCAGACGGTGGCTCGGGTGCTGGACTAGGGAAAGGTCTGCTAGGCCCATGTCAAGGAAGCAGCAGGTTGACAAGGTTCGGTAGACTCCACCCTGCAGTTCGTGGGCAGAATCCCTTGATCATTGTTGAGTTTTACAGCCTGTTTCCACATAAACCCTGCATCTCCTTTTCTTGTGCGTTCTGGGAGAACTTCTCCATTTCACCTTCTACTGACTTTGTACTGTGGCAAGTACGTTCCCAATTTTCGCAATCTGACTGGCGCTTTACTGATGCGCCTTGACTGTTCATGGAATAGAGGTCAGAGCTCTTGACAGCTCCTCATGGAATAGAGGTCAGAGCTCTTGACAGCCCCCTCCTGAGTTTCTTTCATAGTCTCTGCATAGTTTAACTCTCTGCTGGCCCGGTCGCCCGCTGGACAGAGCCAGCCCACATACCTGGCAGAGACCTGTTGGCATAGCCGTTGATGGTATGCACTTCGAGCGGCCGCGTCACCGAGTCATCCGTGTCGGGGTACCAGCTTCGCCCTGGGGAGAGGAGTCCACAGGGCAGACATTCTCGCTCCAGCTGGCTCTCTGAACCTGCGTGGTCCCTGACAGTGGCTGGCCTGGGAGTCCACTGGCAGCGGGTGAAGCTTCCCGCGTCCTCCCCGAGGTACCGGGGGGCCCCAAGTTCGTCCACCCATCCTCGCTCTCACTTGGTCCTCTGTGTCGCCACGGAGTTGTGGGCCCCAGACAGTGAAGCTGACATCTACCCTTAGGCGAAGGCGGCGAAATGGAGCTGGGAGCAGGGCCGGTGGGAGCAGAGGGGAGAAGGAGGTCGGCTGCTTTGAAAGGACAGGGTGTGAGGCGAAGAAGATGGGGCTCAGGGAGGCCACGAGGGGCCCAGCCCAGGAGGGGGAGGAGGGAGGGAGGGAGGAGGAGGATTCGCCTGGGGTGCGGGGGTGTAGGCCTTTCCAGGCAGAGGAGACAGCAAAGTCTGGGAGCAGGAAGGAGCTGTGTTTGGGTGAAAGAACGAGGCTGGGTGCGGGGCCCAGCGGGGAGCAGGACTGGGCGTCTCGCTAGCATTTGCCTTGACATGCTGGCGAGGGCTCCCGCATCTCAAAGTCACTGAGCGTGAGGGCTGGAGCAGTGCACGGCGCGGCCTAGTTGAGGGCACAAGCATCTCACCCACCACAGCCCGTGGGACGGCGGGTCACTCCCGTGTGCGCCCATGACCATGTCGGCGACAGATTTGAAAGGACGACAGGTGTTGGGAAAGGAGAGGGCAAGCTGCGGCGATGAAGGAGGCCTTCCGCGCTCGCCCGCACTCGGCCCTGGAGCTGCTGATGGCGTGCCTGCGGCTCCTCCCTCCCTGGGCTGCGCGTCACCCACGGGCCCTCTGATGTTGCCTGGGATGGTCACAGGCTCCTTCTCAAGGACCCGCGCACTAACCTTCAGCGAATACAGCAAAGAGTAGCACGAGTTCGTTCAGGGTCTGTGCGCCCTCTTTGGCCAGGGTTCCTGGAAGAGAAGCAGCAGCAGCCACGTCTGCGAAGATGCCGCAGGAGGCGTCACCCCGACGGCTCATCAGTCTGCGCAGACCCTTGGCCTCCCGCCCCGCTCTGTGTGGGTCTTGGCTGCAGCACTTCTAGAACTACCTGGGGTCCAGAATTAAACATGAACTCCTAGGGTGGTGGAATTAAAGAGCAAAGTCAATAAACACAAGCCCACTGAATCACATGCGCACATGTTCAGGACAAATGGAACAGAGAAACGACCAAGCCACTGTCCACAGTAGCCGGCCGTGTCCACACCCGAGAAGAGCCTCGTGCAGCTGTCACGGCACGCCCTGCTCCGCTGACCTGCGGCCGGCACTGAGGAGGTGATGAAACGTGTCTGCTCGTCAGGCGGGGCCCGGAGACATGGGGGAGCCGCGTGTCCACGCCACCTGTGTTAACTTTGGCTTTCTGCCTCCCCCCCAGACCTATTCTGACGCTACTTCCTTTCTTGGTGGGTAATTCGCCTGGCTTGTTCCTTGTGCCAGTGAAGCTGAGCTTGTCGCTGCTGATCTCTGCTGCAGCTCTGGGTGCAATGACCGCTGCTCTCTTTCTAGAAAGCGCTGGAATAGAATTTGGGGGAGATACTGCCTCCGTGCGCTTGGCTTCTGGGCCACAGACACGTGGTTCTGCTTGCCCATCTTTCACTGCTCCTGGTTTATTGACTTTGTTGTTGGTTTTCAGAAGGGGTCAAGTTTGAGATGCAGATGGAAAGTCGCTCCGTGTGCACCTTCATCAGAAAAGTGGAGGCGCTAAAGTGTCACGAAGAGTCTGGAATTCCCACCCATATACATGTGCCATTCAGGTAAAGCTGGCTCAAAATATTTTTCTTTTTATTTTATTAAAAAAATCAAGTGGTGCCCCCCCCCCCCGGTGGCACAGCGGGTTACAGCACAGCACTAAGAAGCTGAAGCTGCTTCCGCATGAGTTCGATCCCCGCCTGCTCCGGAGGTGACCACATGGCCCGGCAGACCTCTCCTGACCCGCCCGCTGCTCCC